TAAGAAGGTAAGTAAAACTACACCCGTTTCCAAATTTACTAGTCTCTTTCTTACACGCCTCCTTGCCCATTACACGCAATCTTAACACATTGAACGCCGCGGGAATTCTTAAGGAAATTCCATTCAGGCCACGCAATAAATAATGGAAAGAAGTATTTAAATTCATTAATAATACGATCCTGCAATAAATAAAAATTAAGTGAATTTTGAATAATTTTTCAGTAATTACTTATAACAATGTAAATTTTTTAGTTGTACATCATATTTTACATTTCCAGTCACCGGTGGTTGATGCATTCAAAACGGAAAGTTCAATGTCAGTTACCAGTGGCTGACGTGGCGCTCAACGTGTTAATTGTCACGGTCAAGGAATATGTATTTACCTAGAAGTTTTAACAAGTATGTACAATAACTTATTCGGCGATAATGAAACGCATCAGTGCTGTGCACAATACAGATGAAGCCCATTATATTACTATATTTTTTTTTAACTATTTGAAATACATTGATTGACTTTACTTGTAGGATTTCTTTTCGTAAAATGGATTCTAATTACAGGAATACAAGATAAGGCACAACAGTACTTTACAATAAAAGAAGAAAATAAAAGCGACATCTGGTGTGATAACAGAAAGATAGGTAAAAACGATAGCATTGTTACCGGCCAAGATTGAATCACGCGAATACAGAAGAAAGAAGAAAATATTGAATATTACATGAAGAGAAGATAAACGAGAAGGTAGTGTTAACCTTTTGTACTGTTTAATTTCTTTGACCTACCGACTCCTTAATTTACAATGTACGTCAAGGAAGGGGTTCTCAATAAAATGTATTGCAACATATAAAATGTATGTGATAAATACATATTTTTTTATTACAGGTAATAAATAAATAATAATATACATACACCGATCTATTTATCTGAATTATCTACAAGATCCAATAGTAAAGATATGGAAGTAAAAGAAAATGAAAGGCAGTTGGGAACATTTCAACAACGTGGGAAGAAAAGAAAGATTTCAACAGAGGAGACTGAAGATGGAGAGACAGAAAAAAGAAAGGACAATGAAGAAGAGAGAAGAATTAAAATATGCTTCTTGGACGCAACTGGGATTAACAAGGACGACAAATTTTGGGACTACATAGACGAGTTTGACATCGTAGGAATAGT